CCTGCTTCTGACTTCTTCAGGAACTTCCTTCCAAACTTGCTTCTTCCTGTCCTTGGGAAACATGATCTCTGATCCTTCAGCAGGCCATGAGTGACAATAAGAGACCTGGGATGCACTCTTCTCAGGTTTCCTGTCTACTCCTGTGGATGTGAAAGCTCTGGAAGCATTGTTCAGTGAAGGGATTCTGATCCCTGCAGCAGTCCTTGTAACCACAACTCCTTCCTTTGCCACATTGTCCTACCCAATCTTTGTGATTGATCAGGAAACTGAAAGTGGGATGTTAAGATCATTAAAGGGCTACAACAAAGTCTAGTATTAAATAAAACTGCTAGACTCTCTTTGGCGTGCTGGTCAACGATGATAACCTAATGACACAGATACTGAAGGGAACGCCACAACAGCTGGCTGTCATTGCAAACTAACCTGACACCTCTGTTATGAAGTTGGGTAGAATATTCATGAATTGGAAGGCAAGAAGTTAGAATTTGTTGGCAAAAATGATCGTGGGGTAAAGAGTGCCGTGGTCCCTTTAAGAGCTTGTGCTTTGTCTGTGCTTGGAAGTTTATAAATGCAGGTGCACAGAGAGTGCCCGAATGGAAACATTTTGTATAGAACAGCCAAGCAGCATCTTTTTTCCAAGACAATAGGTTTGAGTTTAGCCAATTAATTTAAATGAAGCACCTAGATACAGAAAGCCAATTGAATTTAAATCTGATGGTGTTAACAATCTGAAACCAATCTTAAGAACTTGATTATATCATTGCGGGTATATAAGATAAGGGTCAACTGCCATCTGAAAGATAGAGCCATCTGCCACCTGCCAGAGTTAGCACCATTCAGCTCTCAGAGAAAGCCCATCTAATTAATCAAAGGTACCATGGTATTTTAGCCCAAAGTCCTCATTAAAGAAATTATTGATGGTAAAATATCCCTGACAGCAGAAGAAAGGTGTTTGTGAAGAGACCAAAAATGACAGAATATTCCAGAAGACAGTCTGTGCGAACTTGGAGAGATTAAGTCACAATTTATTGCTTCTTATTAATTGGGTTTATATTGGTGTGACTTGTATTTATTTAAACAGCATTCAGTAGAATTTAGACTGGTTAGTAGTCTTTGGGGGAATTGTCAGTTTGTTAGTAATAATGTTAATTTGTTCATTGTTGGGTTAAATAAATAAATTATTTCTTGTTACTTGTAAAGTGGATATCAGGGATTTTCTTTCTTTTAACCACTCTTTTAACAGATTACAGGGGGAAAGGCAAGCTTCTCTGGGTGTTTTGGGATTATTATTTAGCAGGGGACCTCTACTCCTGTCATAACAGTTGGGGCTTGCGTTTTAGTTTAATTATCAGAGGGGTTCGGCTATTCCTCGTCCTTAACACCTCCAAGGTGCATACTTGGATGACATTTTATGACAATAATCCATATGAAGTAATTTTGGTTCTGCCACCAGACAGAAACTGGGTTGATAATCATTACTGATCAGTTGATGCTGCCAGCCTGCTATTTCCATTGTCTGGAATTTTAACTGACATTTTTGAGCAGGCTGCAGAAACACTCACCTGAACCTAGCTGTGTCTTCCTTCTAATATGTAATGACAGTATTCACAACATCACCAACATGCAGTGGAAATATGTTAACTGGTGTGCAGATTAGGGACGCTTTATTGGCTTTCCTGTTTGGTAATAATAGTAAGAAGAGAATAATGGAGACAAAAGATGCCCAAACTGGCAATGGCCAGCATTTTAAAATATAATTAAATCTGATTTATTTTTGTTGTGATGAAAAATGACTTTCCTAATACCCCTCTCACTGTAGGGAAATGTATTCAAACTTGCTGTAAAATGAATCTGCTCTGGGATACCTGAGTGCAGCAAATATGAACAAAACTGGCAGGTTGATGCACGCATGTAAATGGAAGTGCTGAATTTTGTTCCCATCATGAAAGTAAAATGACCAAGTTCCTCTCCAAGGACATTCAAACTTGCCCTATTTCCTGATAAACACTGCACCCAGATTATCCAGAAACTCTCCCAAATATTTCCTGGAACCTCAGAGTTGCATAACTCGTTATCTCTATGCTTTTTCTCTTTCCATCTTTAATTTACAGGCTCTGAAAACCAAATATTGATTACCTAAATACTATTTCCTGGTACTTTGCCCTTTTTATTTATTGTTAAAAGCTTGTTTTCATTCAGGATGTGGTGTCTACCGTGACTGTTAGCTTTTTACTCTAGTTTGCATAATGATAAAAATTGCACGCATTTCCTGAGGGCAGATGTGGGACATATGCAGGACATATGCATGTTGCAGAGCAAGGAGATGTTCATCTATTTATTCAACTTACTCCTCCATAAGATTTTATAGGACCACAGCTTTATGACTGCAGGTCAAAATGAAAACTTAGATCTGAAGATAGTATTTGCTTGACTTATCTAGTACTATCTAGTATTAAATAGTTTGAAATCATTATTGTATTATACGTTGTTCCACAGTTTTACATTGTGCTACCAATTCTTGAGAGGTGGGGGTGGGCATTAGATTACATGGACATATGTGGCCATTCTTCATCTAAGTTCAACAATGATTTCTTTTTATCTCTCAAACTGTACTGGGCAATATTTTTAAGCTCAAACCTGTTTTCAACCAAATTCTAGACAACCATGTTCTTCAACCAGCATCAGCAGATGGTCATGCAAATCTGGAAAATTCTTTCCTTCTCTGACCTACTCTGTGTGAGAGTAACTAATTCAGTACTATACTGAGGGCCTGGGTTTGGGATCTTTAGATCCCAGTGGCTTACAACACACTGTTTTAACTCATTTTTAATGAAGCTTCATACAGTTAAAAATCTTCAGTGTTCATTAACTGTAATAAATATGGTGCTCCACTGCATTCTTCATAATAAGTAATGTTCAAAGTAGTTATAGCTCAGATTAAAATGAATGCAACAGCTTAACATTTGGTTCAACACTGTACATTATACAATCAATGTTGTTTATGCAGGAACAAGGAGACAGCATTCTTTCAAATTGAAAATTATAAACATCTTCTATAACATTGAGAAATGTGTACCATTGTAAAAAAAATCCAAATGCATGATAAATGGAATGTACCAAAGCAACAGGCTTAACTGTACTGTGCTGTCACACTCAATTCTAACTGCAGGAATCAGAAAAAGAATCATTGAAAGGAACAGACAACAAAGCAAATAAATGTCTGGCCCAGTAGTAGACGTTAAGGAAATATAAAGGCTTTTTGCGATTCTTATTTTATGATTACCCCTTGCTCCATTACTAGCATACAATTACACAAGTGTCAACAGTCCTCCAGCACCTCAAGTAGTCATTTTGCATGAACTCAGGTAAGAAGTAATGACAAGCTACACATATTTCATGGATTGCTTTGTAATAAAGCTAAGTTTTACTCTCACCTGTATTTCATGCACATACTTTGTAAAAGGTGTCATTGCACACACTTTGTAACAGAAATCATTGGACTCAAAGCAGGCGTAGGAATATTGGCTTCTCCCTATCCAACTCCAATCACAACACTCTAAATACAGCTACAAGCTATTAAATTGGCAACCTTAGCCCCTCCACAAACCACCACCACTGTACCCCAGGTTGACATGGTGTAATACTATGTTCTTGAACATTGAACCATTGAAAAATCATTTTATTTGATCAACCATGCATATGCCACACATTCAAATCTTATTGCCAATTTTAGAAGAACTGAGAATACCTATCAGCTGATTTCAATGCTGGGATTGGGATGTTCAGTCTCTCAAACAAAAAAATTGGGGTGAGCCCTGTTCAATTTAGCTGATTTACTCTGCAGCCATTTTGCAGCTTGCAGGCTATTAACTGACTTAACTCAGACTTTCTCCCCAAGTTTGCAGAGAAAGCCCTGCTTCTAAGAGCTACCAGCAGATCAAATGGCTGGCAGTTCTCTGATTCCAGCAGTGCCACAGGAGTGGTGGCCATTTCTGGAACTGCATTTGGTCCCCAAAGCTAGTTGTCAATGGAGGCAGGTGCGAAGATCTAGAGATAACAACAATATGAAATGTATACAGGACAAAGCAGAAAATAGGTGCCAACAATAATTCAAATGAATACCAAGCTGACTGTAAAATGTTCAGAGGGGATTTGATACAGGAAACCTAAAAGGCAAAGGCAGGGTATGAGAAAAGACAGGCACCTAATATGAATGAAAGACATGAGAGAAATATAAACATTGTAAGGATATAAAGTTAGAAGAGGGAAAACAGAGGTGGAAAAAATGGATCTACAAATGGAAGAAAACTACATGACTGGGTTATAAATGGCTACTTTGGTAATTAGCCAGAGTCCACTTAGGAATCATAGACATCTCTCCCTGTTAGAAGTACAGTGGTCACACAGCCTGACGAACACCGCTCCACATCAAGCATGGGCAAGGCATGAACTACCACAACAGTACAAAGAGTAAACCCACATTTTTGACATTATCCTGCTCCACACTCTCACATCTAACCAACTGACCCATTGTTCAGAAGAAGGTGTAAGGATAAATGTAGCAACCACAGGCCAGTCAGTTTAACCTCAGTGGTGGAAAAGCTTCTGGAAACAGTAAACTGGGACAAAGTTAACAGCCATCGCTCAACTTGATTGAGTTTGTAGACGAGTCAGCAGAAAGGATTGGTGAGGGTAATGTATTTGATGTGGTATTTGGGGATTTCCTAAAGGCATTGCTAAAGTGCTACATCATAAGCTTGCCAACAATGTTGAAGCCCATGGAATAAAAGGGACACTGGCAGAATAGATAGAAAGTGGGCTGAGTAACAGGAAATCGACAGTTGTGCTGAATTAACAAGGTGTAGAGCTGGATGAACACAGCAGGACAAAAAGCATCAGAGGAGCAGGAAAGCTGACGTTTCGGGTCTAGACCCTTCTTCAGAAATGGGGTCTAGACCCGTAACATCAGCCTTCCTGCTCCTCCGATGCTGTTTGGCCTGCTGTGTTCATCTAGCTCTACACCTTGTTATCTCAGATTCTCCAGCATCGGCAGTTCCTACTATCTCTGTTACACTGAATTGTTGTTTTCCCAAATGGAAAATCCAAGGATTGATAAAGGACCACTGTTTTTCTTGATTTCAAACTTGGATAAGCAGCACGCAATTTCCAAGCTTGCAAATGAAGTAAAACTTGTAAGAAATTGTGAATTTCAAGGGGAATGGTGATAAACTTCAAGAGGATGCAAGCTAGTGGAGTGAATTGATACATCACAGAAGAAATTAATTTCATGTGAAGTGATACATTTTGAATGGATGATTTAGGAGAAACAATATAGATTAAATGTATAACTCTAAAGTCAATGCACTGGGTTTACATATGCACAAATTGCTGATGGCAGTTCAGGTTGCAAATGTGCTTATAAGAACATATAGAATGCTGGACTTTATAAATAGGGGCATAAAGCACAAAACCATACAAGTTATGGTGAATACTTTTAAAACACGTGTTCATCACTGGGCACCATATTTTATCAGAAATATGAAGATACTGAAAAAAATTATGAAAATGGTTGCAAGAATTAGGGATTTTAAGTATGTAGATAGATTGGAGTAGCTGGCTTTATTCTCTTTGGAACGGAGAAGGTTGAGAGGCAATTTGATGGAGAAGATTCAAACTCATGAAAGGACCAGACACACAATAAAAGGGGAAACTGTTCTCATTGGTGAAAGGATTGCAAACTAGAGAACACAGACACAGACAGGAATTGGCCAGAGCACAAAAGATGCCATGAGGAAAATCCTCTTTCAAGATTGTTTATGATCCAGAATGCATTACTTGAAAGAGTGTTGGAGACAGATTCAGTATTGGTTTTTGAAGGAGAATTGGAGATGTACCTGAAGGAAAACTTTTACAAGGCAACTAGAAAAGGCCAGGAGAACAGGACTGGCTAAACTGCTCTTGCATTGAGCTGAACCAATTTTATGGTTAACGGGCGACCTTTGGTGTTATTATTCATCTATTATTCTAAAGGTGTTTGTCTGCTAGTTTCTTTAACAGAAACTTCGAGGCAATGGTAATAACGGTGGTGCTCAACATACATGTCTACTACCATATAGCCTTTTATATAGGAAGTAATTTTATCAGTAGCAACTTGTGGAGTGCTGCCCTGGTTTAAAAAAATAAATGTATGATAAAAATAGTTGTTAGAAGGTTACAATATCAGACATAAGATTCATCTGTGAAAATAATATTTTCAAAGTCTTCCAATTGTGAATCAGTGCACCGTCTACTTTGCCATTCTTGTCTTCTTCTAATTAGTTCACTCTCCACTGTCTTAGTGTCTCTGAGGCAGTGTTTGGCCTCACTGTAAAGGAAGTAGTCCTTAACAGTAGTTTTAACTGAGGGAGGTAATATAAAACGAATAGTGTGTCTTTTATTACTCGTGCTTTTACTACATTGCTGAGGAGATATGGGCTGAGTCGAACCATCTAATAATTGCGTGTCACTCTGTGAAGGACAATCTGGGGAAGATGTTCTTGTTAAAATGTCCCCGGGCATAACCTTTTTCTGTGACGCCTTGGATCCATCATATATCTGCCTTCGTGCAACAGATTGGAGAACCAAGGGTGAGTCCTGACCATAAAACACAGTTTGAGGGATGTGGACCTTTAAAGTCTGTCCTGGTTGTCTAGTACTTCCTTTGCTGGTTGGTGACAGACTGTTGAGACTATTGTCATCTTGCGCGGCATTGTCAACTTCAAGGTTCTGTTTCTCCTGATCATCCGTATGTTGTATACTGAACACCTTTCCTGGTGCCATGTAGAATGTTATTTTAGTGCGTTTAACATTCTCACTGTAAGAAGGTGCTACACTGGGCTCCTCAGGTAATGTAACACATTGTGTTGCATTGGGAACAGTTGACCTATTCCTTCTTTCTTTATTACTTTCTCTGCTTAACTCCTTTGCATCATTTTGAACAGAATTTGTTCCATGTTCATCATATCCAATATATGATACACTTGTAAAACAATCACTATCCTTTTCAGAACCTTCAGATCTTTGGCTTTTCAAATGAGCCATTTGTTCGACTGATATTTGAGCTAAATCCTCTTGGTCACTTTCACAGTCCAAGTCTCCTTTCTTTTCTGCTTCCTCATTGTACCAATCCAAATTATCAAGACAGCAAGCCACTGAAGATGGCGAAGTCCCAAATAATGTGCCAGTAAACCTATTGGATGTACAAGGTGAGGATATCTGGCTTTTTACAGAATTTCCAAAGTGTGAAATATCATTGCGACCAAATACTGATGAGTCAGAATAAGAGAAGGCACTATCTATTGAACTTAATGAAGACTCTGAGGGTGATGTGGTGGGAGAAGACAGGCTTGACAGACTTGATCTGGTTGACAGATTCATTCGATGTGAATTAGGCTGTTTCAGCCTGGTATTAATTTGAGGGGACCTCCAAAAGGTGTATCTCATTTTATTAGACCCAGGGCCTTTCCCATCATCCAATAACCTCTGACTTTCAATCTGAAGCCTTTTCAGTTGTTGTAAGTAATCAATATGGCCATGAGACATGGCAGCATCACAGCTTGACTGGCGGGCGACGGGCTCATGAGATAAGGCAAGGCGGTGTGACAAGCAGACACTGGGCTCAGATGAGCAACGGTCTCGTGCCGAGTCAATGCTCTGGATAGCTACAAGTGAAGAGACGGAGGAACAGGAATATAAAGACTCATTTTCCACCTGCTCACAAAGGTCTCCACTGTCACTCTTCTCTAAGATTTTCTTACATGGGACTTCTTCATTGAATAAGCTCTGCTGGTTCCAGATGTCCTTGGGTCCTTCAGCTGTGTGCAGTCTAGGATCATTCAAGGTAATGAAGATGGAATCATTTGGCTGGTCCTTTGGAACTTTTTGTCTTTTTTGATCAGATAATTCTGAATCCATATCGTCAGATGAATACTGTGGCTGCAACAAGCCTATATCTGCAAAAGTAATAATGAAAGAAAAATCAGAATGTTGCAATATTTCAACATGATTTTCTTATGCTGTTATGCCATTGACTCCTGCTGAAAAACTGTTTCACAAATGCTCAAAATCATAGTGTCATTTAAGTCAATGAACTAGGCTATTTACCAACAGAGACCATAACTGCAATCAAAAACTGCTCCGCATTTGAAATCTTTGCTGTTTGAATAACAGTACAGGCATTTAGAGCAGAAACTTTGGCTGGTTTTATTTATTTCATATTACAGTGGCAGTTTGGTTTTTATAGTTACCTTAACTGAGAACAGCTAATCATGGATTAGAATTATGGTTTAGACTTAGACTCCCTACAGTGTGGAAACAGGCCCTTTGGTCCAACAAGTCTACATCAACTCTCACAGCATCCCATCCAGACCCAGCCCCCTACAACCCACCTAACCTGCACATCCCTGAATACGACCAGCAATTTAGCAAGGCCAATCCACCTAGCCTGCACAGCTTTGGACTGTGGGAGGAAATCCATGCAGATGCGGGGAGAATGTGCAAACTCTGTACAGACAGTTACCCAAGGGTGGAATCGAACCCAGGCCCCTGGTACTGTGAGGCAGCAGTGCTAACTACTGAGCCACCATGCTGAGATACAAGACAATGTCCTTACTCCCTAGACCATTAATCTAACAAAGATTATGTATTTACACAAATTCATTAGTAGAGGTTAGGGTTTTGAGGCATAGACATAAGGAGCCCAAAATTATCTGTTCCCAAAGTTCAAAAGCCAAATCAACTGTGCCAGTTATTTGATGCTATGATCTGTTCATGTCTGATCCTAGCAGTACACACATGCCATGCCCACATTATCTCCCATTGCACTATTTGCTGACTTAGGTGTTCTATAATTCCAGCAACAGCAGCATGGCAAAGTCCAATTTCACAGCCAAGAAATTTAATGTATATTCAAGGGGAAAAAAAATGTTCAATTCAGCAACATTGCGAACTACAAGGAAAACACTTTTATCTAGTGTTTCACATTATCTCAGGGCATACCAAAGTATTTTATATCCAACAATGTGCCTTTTGAAGTACAATGTAGGAGAAACATACAAACAGTAATGAAACAAGATAATCTGACCTCTGCAATTAGTGCCACAGGACATTTCACATACACCTGGGAGGGCAGATGGAGCCTCAGTTTAACACTTTACCTGAAAGATGGCACTTTGGACAGTGCACAACTTTCTCAGTAATGACTGAACTGTCAGCCTGAATCATGTCTTCAAATCTCTTGAACCAATGACTCCTTGACTCAGAGATTAGGTTTGTGCTACTAAATCAAGTCTGACACTCATTGGAAAGACACTAAGATAAAAGATAGTGTGGGCTTGCTTTATACTAAAAATCAGGCCCAGACAATATACATGCATCCAAAGCAAAACACCTTTGGGTGATAGAAATTAATTCTTAGCCCTCATCAACCTATGCTTTCTGGTTTGCACCCAGAAATGTTGCACAATGCATGTCAATTTCTGCCCAATTATTTCACATTGTGTCAATGATAGATAAGAATGGAGGTGGGGTGGTGGTGAAAGTTTATTATCCATGAACATTCCAATCTTAAATTGCCCCTTGACACTGAGACAAATGACTTTTATTCCAAATCAGTTAACAAATTTTGAGTTGAGGTTTTTGCAGCTTTGTGTGCACTAGTGTTTTACAGATAATAAATCTACCCAACAGAAATCTGTTGACTCTTTAGAATCAGTTAATAGGGCTTTTTAAAAAAAAAACCTCATAAGCAAACACCACAAACCCAGTGAGTCCTCAGAATTTCCTTGCTGGACATCTCCTGATTCTCCAAATAGTGAATTCAACCCACTCCCAAAGATTCGGCAAGAGTTTTCAATCATGAATTGTACCAGAATGGCCACCTGAAAGACAGCACAAAGTTCCAGATGAAGCAATACATTCAACAACACAAACTTGTATAATATCTTTAGTATAATGAAATGTACAGAGTGCAGCAGTAGAAGATTTAGGAAAGAATTGGGAAATAAGAATTAATTTGTAGAAGGTATTGGCCACAAATGGAATATTATGTGCAATTTTGATCAAACTATTCTAGAAATACTAAAGTTTTAATGATAGCATTGAGGAACCATCAGCTTTACATTTGTTATGATGTGTGGCTCGCTTGTGTATCGAGTAAAAATATAATAAAATTTATATCTATATTAGCATATGATATGTGATATTTTTACATAACAATAGTTTTCCTCTATCTATGGTGACTATTTGACCTGACTATATTTTTTTAAAACTGTAAAGTGTTGATTTAGAAAGAACAGGCAAAATATACCTTAACAAAATTCATCATGAACTAATTGATTAAAAAGACTGCTCAGCTCAAAAAGGGCTGAAAAAATGTTATTTGAACAAGTAATAGTTGGAGGGAGACTTTCCTGGCATCATTGGAGAGAAAAGCCATGGTAGTCCCTTGAAAGTTGTATGAAATTAAATGGGTTGATACCATTCTAAAAGTTGTTTTCCAATAGGAAGCTGGTGTACTCATCAGCTTCAGACCCTTTTAATTTGTAAATTTGGTTCCATGACAGAAGCAGGAGACCAGCTTTCCATTGAAAACAATTGGAACAAAATGTTATTAAGCTTTACTGAGAGTGATGCTAATGGCTATTTAACATTATTTGGCTGCTCTTCCCCACCCCAACACCCATGTCAGCTATCGCCCCCACCCACCTCTATGGCACCTCAAACCCTGATGCTCATTTATGGCACATCTGCTTGGAACCAATGAAACATAAAGTGACAGCAGGGTATGAAAAATCAATTCTTCCTACAATGTTTTTAAAAAGTCCTTTTCCTACACGGCAATAGAAGTGTCAATTATTTCGACTCTTTAACAGAAACTGCAAGTACTTGAAACCGATAAAACTAAGTAAGCATTGTGCAATGAACTGCAGCGATCAGAGAAGTACAGCTATCAATGAAATATGGCACACCCTGGGGCTCATGATTTTTGCATCACATGCAAACCTGGAGATGTTACATTCAGTTCCTTCATTGTGGATATTTAGGGGTCCAAGCCCATCATTTGGAAAAGGAAACATTTATTCCTACTCTGTTTCCTGACTGCCAACCAGTTCTCTATTCATGTCAGTACACTACTCTCAATCCCATGTGCTTTAATTGTACACATTAATAAGTTACATGAGGTGACATGGAGACTATGTGTGTGTGGGGGGGTGGCGTTGATGGGGGAGAGGGATGAGGGCTAGAAGGTCTTACTTTTTTTATCTCATATCACCAAGGTAGATCTTTTAAATAGACCATTGTAGAGCCCAACAGCTTCCTCCAATCTCTTTCCAGCTGGCACAACTATAACCATTTCCTGGCAATGGACATCATGTCTTTGTGGATACTTTTTCCCAAGGTGGATACATAAATTTTCCCAACTCTCATTAACTGACTTCATGACAAACATCTAGGCTATAACATTCAGGATTTAGTAGTACAATTATCAGCTGGACAGACTATCAATAGATTACTCCATGATGAGGAGGTCAATGACGAAACTTTCACTAAACATTTGGAAAATGCCAAGTGAGTCAGGAGTTGCCCCAATAGTGGGATTGTAGGCCCTTTCTGCATTAGTCTGTTGGCCTTCCTCATTTTTGTCTGCTTTGTGCTTTGTGCCTTTGAGTAACGTTTATTATGTTCTACTCAATGGAAAAACAAAGTTGCAGAATGTGCTAGGATTCAGGAATTAATGCTGAGGAGTTGAAGATGGGTCAATTATGAAAGAGTGTACTGATAATGAAACACAAGAAAACGTTTTCCTCTTTAAGTGTCAGATTCACTCAGTTGGCAAATTCGTACCCTGCTATTGACTTGAAAATATAATCCAGGCTGACAATAGAGAATGATGCATTAATGTTGCTGTTGAGACAGTGTTTGTATACAACTTGATTGCTGTTATTAACTGTGCCTGGATTCTAAAAGTAATATACTGGTTGCAAAGCGTTTTGAATAGTATGAGGAAACAAATAAGATGCCCTATAAATTTAACTTCTGTTTTTGATTTTGATTTTGATTTGATTTGATTTAGTATTGTCACATGTACCAAGATACAGTGAAAAGTATTGTTTTGTGTGCTATCCAGGCAAATCATAACTTACAAAAGTATAACAGGGTAATAGAATAGAATGTAGTGTTACAACTACAGAGAAGTTCAGAGAAAGATAAACTTTAATATATGAGAGGTCCATTCAAAAGTCTGATAACAGCAGGGCAGAGGCTGTTCTTGAATCTGTGGTAGGTGTTTTCAAACTTTTCTGTCTTCTGCCAGACATTTTCATTCAGCTGTGTGAATGCTCATACAAGCAAACCAATTCAAACATGAAGTAAAACATAACAGGCAAGGACAGTGATCCTGCTTAGCAGGAGCACTTAAGTGGACTGGACCAGATCCTTGAACTAACTATCCAACTGAAGACAAAACCAGGTGTACTAACATCTGTTGCAAATCCAATGTACTTTTAGATTCTTTTCACAATACAGTATAATACATGTCTACAAAACATTCACACAATGCATGTACAAATGGAGGCACTGTAAATTTGGGGTATACAACATTAATGTATATTTAAAATAATTTGATCAGGTCCTGAGAAGCCTTGCTGAGTGAAATTCTAAACAGTCAAGGCATTTTTGGATTCAAATTTACATTGTGTGATGTTCATAACAAATGAATGGATATATTTACATGAGATTCCTCTGCTCCCCTATTATTTGAGACATGAACACATTTACTTTAAATCCTTACCACTTTTACTAAAATATCAAATGTGTTCAAATAGTTGTTACTAACATCACATTATGTTATTTTAATCCATATTTCTGGGCTCTAAAATACTTTACAATGTCTGATCATTTTTAACCATTGTTTGGTCAGCATCCACTAGATGAAAATATCAGTTCTAACCCTTCAGCTTTATCTTAAATTTCCTGCTTGAAATTTCTGGATGGAAGTGAAAACATTCTCTTGCAAAGAATTGCATCATTAATGCAGTCTATGTGACCAAATGACACTAAAAATTAGTTTAATATAGATGATCTGTGTTTAATCTTTCATGGAATGTTAACATCAATAGCAAAGCTCACATTTATTGCTCATCCCTAATTGGCCTTTAGAAGATGGTGATAAGTCACCTTCTTGAATCACTGTAGTCCATTTGGTGTAGGAGCACCAATAGTGCTGTCAAGGAGAGATCCAGATTTTTGACTCTGCCACACTGAAAGAATAGCGATATATTTCCAAGTCAGGATGGTGAGTGGTTTGGAGGGGAACTTGCAGGTGGTGGCTTTCCCATGTATTTGTTATCTGTGTTCTTCTGGATGGAAGTGGTCATGGTTGGTAGGTGCTGTCTAAGAAAGTTGGGTGAATTGCCTTCATTTGAGATTCATGGTGAAGTGTTAAAAATGTCTCTCATCTTCCTTTCTGGGAAGCTATCATAAAAGCCAACACTGATAATAAGATATACTATCAAATTCAATGTGTTACTCAGCCTATGGTAAATTACGTTTGTGAGATTTCAAAAATGATGATATCAGACTTCACACTAAATTCAAAATCTATTAGTCAATAGTTCGCCCAAACTTCTCAACAGCATTAATGCTTGGAAGACTTGGCAACACTAGAACATTATCAGCAATGCTGTCTGGCTTGGTCAGGCAAAAGAGCAAACATGAATGTCTTCCAAGATGCAGACATGCCAAAGTTGTAATAATCTCACATCAGCTGAAAGGACAGGACAAATTGTAAGGATGCATTACTCAATACTGCCCAAACAAATGCTTAACTCTGAGTTACATCAGGGAGCACATTCACACAGGGGTCAAAGGAAACATATGGAAGGTCATCTATGAAGGTTTGCTCTATCAACATCTGCACACAGGAAGTAGAAGCCCAACAACAACTGTATTAATAGTCCATCATCAAAAATCACTTCAAGATCTCCTAATCAACAAAAGCAGCACTAAAAGCAACCATGAGAGAGACGGAAAGACAGGACACTTGTTTGAGCCAACAATCCACCGCTAATTCTGTTGGCTAACAACCAAAAGCTCTTCACTGTGGGAGAGCTTGTAAGACGAAGATAGGGTTGATGGGACATGTGTGAACCCACAGGCAACCCTGACAACTCACTTAAATCCAACTGTCCACAAGGAAGGAACATCTGTGTCATAAAGACTGTCAATTATTTTTCACCTGCAGCCATCCACAAAGAGGGAATGAACCCAATTAAACAGAAACCGACTCCAACTAATTCAGCCTGAAATCAGCAGCCATAAGTAATATTTAGTACTGAAAGGAGTACTGTCCTGTGAATGCTGTCAGTGCTCTGTTTCCATGTTTAAATATTTATTTAGCTTTACTTGTGAGCCTAACAGGGAAGGCTGGATTTTTTTTCAACCAGCCAGTTACTGTAGTGACAAAGATCAGGAAACCCATACAACTTGTACAGTTTGTGTCATGACAAAGATTCAAGAGTGTAGGGACCAACAACTTAGAAAGTGACAAGCAATCATTACTGTGTCTGTTCAAACCTGTAACTAGGTTACTGTATTGTCCACCTCACAACTGAGATGGATCCTGCCTTTACTTGCTGAACAGTGATCAGAACTTGAGAACTCATCTGTTTTTAGATCCCTTTTGTTATCTGCTTGAGTTTGATTAAAATACAAATACAATATTTATAAGAATGAATTTGTTTATCTGGTGCTGCGTTCTCTCAGGAGGAACATGGATGAATATAATTGGTTCTGATTGCTCACCCAAATGTATTTCTCCAGGACTGAAGAATCGCACTATAAATCCAATTATTCCTCTGATTCCAATTTTGACCTATGT